TTAAAATGATCCATATGTGATGTAATAGTTGCTCGATTGATATCTGAGTTTACTTTGTTGGCATAAACTTCTATTATTTGAGTTTAGATGTGGCGATGCTGGTTCTTTCCTATTAATCCTTTACCCTAAATGAGTCCTGTATAACCTATTTAGAACTCCTATCTGTTTTGGATAATAAAACGTCGAGTCAAGACAGTGCTTTGATATTGTCTACAGAACTCAGTGTACAATAAATTGATAAAGAATTAAACTTTTCTCATTGTCTATCAGTAGAAATATTTAAGTTGGAAAATCATGATTTTTCAAAAAAAAATCGAAAAATTCAATTTCTTTTTGTTTATCGCTTTTCTAAGAGAACAGATTGATCATTTATTTCTTTGAACTGTTGATATATGTTAAGTAAGGCATCAACTATCTATTCAAAACCTTTTCACAAACTATTGAATCAATGCGCTGCAACGCCGTTCTTTAGAACAATATGGGTCGAATATGACCCATTGCTGTTGAATGATATGAAAAAATCCATTCTTTTACAGATGTTTGGTTTTTGAAATAAATTGATTCTTAACAATATGTTCATACTTAAAAAGTTTATTATGACTAATAACTAATCAAAAACTAAATCGTGATAGTTTTCCAATGACCTTCTATCGGAAAAAGATAATTGAACGAGAGTCTTTTCTCAATAATCCAATCCTAGAACAGATATTCATAATTGTCATTATGCTGATATTTATTCTTTGTATGTTTTAATTCTTTCTCCCTTGCCAGTCAACTCTTTCGTCTGTTATTCTCTTTTTTGTTGTTTCTTGGACATGTATCTTTTTCAGCTATATATAAACTCATTTTAGTTGAAAATACTAGCAATATTGTGCTATACTACAAGATCAAATATGAAAAGAAATGTAATTTGTTTTTCTCTTTTTATCCGTCTTCGAAAATTTTTGGTATGCAATGGAACAAAACAAAAGAGTATTCTCGAATTCTTTCTTCTTTCTCCTTTCTTTATTTTTTTGCATAATACAGCTTGTCTCTTCAATAAAGAATACTTACTTATTCGTGTCATTCATATTTATTTAACATACATATCTCGTTTAGTATTATGTTCTGTTGTCGCTATTTTGTCTTGCGTTTTTTTTTCTAACTTATATAATTCTATTAGCTTTCCTTTTTTTCAAATAATATCTTAAAATAGTAATTCAACAACTTCATCAGATTGAGATGGTTTATATAATTTGAATATCGATCATGATTCAAGTGGAAGTGATACAAGTAACTTGTCTATTTATGACTTTAGAGTAATACGTAATTGTTTTAAAGGCTATCAGTGGAAAAAAAATTCTCAAAGAAAACTTGAGTACAAAGGGCTAGACGATCATAGTTAGCATCATGATTTCCGACTCTGAGAAAGATATTGATTTAACCATAAGAAATTAATAAAAAAAAACTGTTTGCTTGCCAGTTAGAGAAGAGAGAGAGTGCTGGACTTTGATGCATTTCATGATAAAACAGTGAATGCACATAAATGTTACAAATGGAAAGACACTAAGCACGATATAAGTATTCACAAAGATTTCAATAGAGTGATGATTTCATGATTACTTTATCATTTGGATATCATCGTAAGTTTCTTAAAAAAATATGAAGCACGTTAGTATCAGGCGAAACTATGGAAATTCTTTATCTTAAGAAGTTACGTTAGTTTTATATGAAAATTTCGAAAACCTTTTGCGCTTTGTTTTCTAACCTAGAAATGATTTTCATTTTTCGACGCCTATAAGAGTTCGGTTGTCAAAGATGACACATTGACGGTGCAATAATAAACCCGTACTTATTTACAGTGTAGCAGTATATAGTTTGATATATGTCAGAAAAAAAAATTTTTTTTTCTATTCATGTATCTAATTTTTTCTTGATTGAAATCAACACTTCTCAAATCAGTGATCACGTATCCGTTATCTACATGAATTTCGTTTATGAAATAGATAATTGTGGAGATTGAAAAACAACGCCTAAGATTCATCTAAAAACAATTTTTAATATACAAATACAAAAAATCAATGATTTTTATCAAAACTATTTAACGAGTTAGAATACTGCACATGTCTATTTTTTTTCAACTCAATTTCATTATAATGAGATTGTTGAAGGAACAGAAATTAGTAAAAGATATAAAAATAGAAAAAAAAAGGAACAATAAAAATCAAAGATGACTGTAGTCGGTATCAGTTATAAAGTTGAAATCATTGCTCATCGAATGAATAGTTTATATAAATATTCGAGTTTTTTTTGTTGTTGTTGTGAGAACAAGACTACTAACATTCCCCAGCGACCGATACAAGAAATCAGTAATAAAAAAGTAGAAGCTGCGTTAAATATGCATTAATTTTTTCATCTCAAAAATAATCTCGTTTAATGAATTGAAAATATGGTAAATGTAATGCTCTAAATATAGATTACTAGATATTCTATAAAGAATTTTATAAAACACTACAACTAATTGTTGCATGAACATAATTTAACAGAATTCAGACTTCGATATTATATTACATATAACATTATTAAGTTACTCGACGTTTTCTTAATGCAGATAAATTTGTATTATTAATCATTTTTATGCACATCATGTTTATTATATAAATGTTCGTTTCTTTTCTAATAATGAAGTGCAATCTGCTTTATAGTAGTTATAAATTTATCTAGAGTATAGGTTTATTTTAATGATCTTGGTGAAATGAATTGTTCAGCAGTCTNAGGGGAGAGGCGGGCCTAGGCGAAACTTGAGACAGAAGTTTCCCCAGAGAGACCTCATCGATTTTTTCCTTAAAAATTATTTGTGCTGAAATATATATTATATAAGGTAGTTTTTGGTGCTGATTATGAATATGGTACTCGTTTCGGTGTGAGATTGAAATGAGATTAAGATCCGAAGTCGACATTGACTGTAAAATAGTTTCGAAATGGTGGCTTTCTTACAATTTTTCGATGAAAATAAATCTTGGGACTGTTTAGATTTTTCTGAAAAACCATACGGATCGATAGAGCGTGAGCCGGAGCAATTTTTGATCATAAAGATTTTTCTGTCTAACGTGGTTTTTAAATACAAAAGGATTCTACAAAGTCGTGGATGTAATAGGAGAATAGTATCTATCGTACCTGTTTGACCCTACCTAATCTCAATGAGAAGTTTTCAGGAAACATTATTAATATATCATTTAGTAGAGCACGAAAAACTGCGTTGATCTACACTATTAGTTTTAACACTAGACTTTCAAAAGAAAAAATGATGAGTAGCAGAGTTATTTGCTGGAATACCGAAAAGTGATATATCCTCCAAGACTATTTAGTCTTTGAAAGATCTATTTTGCGTTGTATAAGAAACAAAATAAATATACAGAAATGTGCAGAATTTCATGCTCTATCTTTCTAAGCTATTTAAATTGAAATAAGAACAGTGACAGATTTCCGATCTTATCCGACAGGGTCCTTTGATTTTAATATTTATTATCTACATAGTAATTTGATATAATCAACTAGATTTTATTTATCACATAGCATTACTTTAGTAGTTCTTTAATCATTATAACTAATTTAGGCTGCAGAAAATGAAACTGAAGCAAGATTAGATAATATTTCAATTATAGATATTGGCAAAAGGTCAGAGGTTTTTGTTACACGAAAGCTGGTATTTTTCATGTCTATTATCAAAGAATGATTGATCAAGTATATAAATATATATATACATCTTTAATGTTGAGATAATTATTAACTGTATATTCATATTCTTAATTTCCTTTGCAATTGTACATATGCCAAGATTATTCATTATCTTTTTTGTGAAACTTAATAGATGTCTTATTCTTCTTATTTAAAATTTTATGATAGCATATATTGTGAAATATGATCTTCATATTTTAACTCTTGGTAGTCGCCGCCAGTGGCGTAGTCAAGGGATGGGCAAATAGACAATTGCCCAATTCATTTGGAGATTTGCCCTTTGTAATTTTTGTGAGTAAGTTTTTGCTCGTTCAAATTTCACTTTTTCAGAGTTGTTTATTCATTTTTGAATTAGATAATAACTCTACTATTTTTCTTCCGTTCGAATCACATATGCACTTCTTGCTTGTTCTTTCTATGAAGAATTAAGAAAATAAGAAGAAAACGATCGTTTCTGCTATTTTAACTAAGGTTGCTAGATGAAAACTTCAAAAATCAGAAATTCTTGTTTTGGAAATCAGAAAAAAATCAAAGTTTTTTCTCCGAAATCGGAAACTAATCAGAAAGAGTAAATTTTTGCCAAAAAGGGCTATCATGTTGACATACTTGCACAAAATGCTTCACTTATTTGTTTATCGACTGATACTTTATTCCCAAAAGCATTTCACAGCAAAGAAAGACAATACAAACATTATATAGCTTAGAGCAAATGATCGTGTACTGAAGGCTAAGGAGATTGATCATAGTCGGTTCAAATGAATACTCTCACTGTCAAGTCAACTAATTAAAAATATGAGCTGCCAATAGCATACACACACCGAGATATTCGAGTTTCAAGAAATTTACAGTTTGTTATGCATCCACACTACGAAATTTCACCAACGCTTAGTTATCTTTTTTTCTTCATGCTTGGATGGAGCATGACAATTTACATCAGAAAAAGCAATATCACGCATATTAAAAAGCAAAATCTACCAAGTCTAAGACTATTTTTTTTATTATAAGCGTAATA